CTTACTATCATTTGGGCCATGAATACTTATTTTTACATTTCCCTTATTTCTAGATTATTTCTAAAATAACCCCATCACAAATTGATTTTATCAAAATCCATTTTTTCACTACTTTTTTAACCTCATTTAGATGTGTTTTATTTCATTTTACTTTAAACATATTTTTCCCTTTTGTTTTTGGATTTTTTTGTAATTTTTTTAACACTTTTTGGCTTTGCTAGAGCTTAGCCCCACTCGGGCTAAGTTTCTCGTACTCAGGCCGGGTACTCTGCTCGAGCCTGGGCCGAATACCTGATCCAAGTCAATCATTTAAACATTGTTTGTGTGTATATGTGTGTGTAGAAAAAGCTCAAATTAGCTATGGGCTAACACCAAAGAAAAACATCACCTTCCCTTTTTTTTGATGAAAGAGGACCTAAAAAATAGTTTTATGAGGAAAGAGAAATTGAGTCGATATTAGTTGTTAATTTGGAACATAATTACATCTACAGTCAGGTGCCAAAAATCATTTTATTTCTTTTTACATTATTCTTATTTTTAATTTATGGCGTTGTTACATTTACAGTTAAGATTCTTCTCTTCAAGCCACATAACTTGAAAGACAATAACCCTAAAATCAGATCTACGATATGGCAGCCACTTCAAACTTTCCTACGACTGACCTATTGTAGATCTGATTATTTAGTTGTTCCTCACTCCAAATGTATTATTGTTGGCTTTATAATTAATTTTGGTGGCTTTAAAATCAAATCCCCTTGAAACCTTAACATCAAATTCATTTCATTGCTAAAAAGTAATGTTTCTTGTATTTTCTAACTTATATAACAACCCACTACAACATATTCGCTTGGGATTTCATCTTTCTTGAATAAGGTTTCGAAATTTAAGCTAGTTGTTTTTCTTTGACCTAATGAATAACCGGGCCATAAATAAACTGAGGCTTTCCCCGTTTGAGTTTAAATTTCCGGCAATAAGTTGTTTCTTATTAAGTCAAATGTTTGTTATTTATGCTTGAAATCATGAATGATATCATTTGTGGATTAGATTTCTGTTGGCTTGCTTTCCCATACTTTGTTTGTAGAATATTCTGATAAAACCTCATTCTCAACTGAGGGAATTTCGGGAAACCATAAAACAAACTATAGGAACACCTTCTAGAACCTAAACCATAGATTTTAGATGCACGTAAAACCCCAAGTTAATCAACTTGGATGCCTATATACCAAAGAAACATAGTAAACCAGCCCATACACAATTTCGACACCTATAACCATGAAAAGTAACACCCTTAAATCTAAGCCTCATAGACCCTTCAAGAATGAGTATTTTAGGTCAAATTTGATTTTAAATTAAAATACAGGTCGTAAGCTTTCCAATGATTCAAAAATTAGTTAAATTCGATATAGGATTCGAAAGTTGTGACCCGAACAACTTTGTTATGCTAGAACCTCATTTTGGTCCTTCTACGACAATACCGCCAACGTCTTAATGCTATTATAAGGATTTGATGCTGAGCCCCCAAATTCGGCCAAAGTTTTCTGGAAAGCCCCAGATATGCATTAATGCCACCGACGCTAGCTCAGGCATCATGATGCAAACCAAAACCACCTAGAAACGATTGACAATCCCTCTAGACCCACCAAAATTGGGTCAAATTAGTTCAAATTGGATTTTAAATTAAAGTAGAAGTTATAATATCTCCAACAGTTAAAGAATTGTCTGAATATGGTGCGTGGTTTAAAAGTTATGGCACAAGAATTTTTTTACAAAATTGCCATTTTGGTCCCCAATGACATTAGCATCAAGAATGCATGCGTCGTATCGAAATAAAAAAACCGAAATTCCTTGGCACCAATGACAGTCTCGTTAGAGTTAGAAGTAGCAATGCTGCACAGGAGAAGAGCTATCGTCAGCCATAGTGACAAGGAATCATTAGTCGAAAATCAGATCCTTGATATCTGGCCGGAAGTATCATGATTACACCAACAACAGAGGCACTAACGACAACGTCAGATTCAGCAACGATGTCAACAATAGTCCCCTAAATCATTGGTCTGGAGACCCGTCAGATAACATGGCCCGAAGAATCACGAGACTGTTTGGGTCCAGCGTGGGCAGTGCCATTGCCTGCATCAAAGGTGGCCAGACATATGGACACCCTACACAATTTCAAGAATAATTTCATTAAATAGGACAAGACCAATTATTGAAAATCAAATGATTAGGGCTAAAATGATTGCCCACAATAGTGCCAACACTATTCACACTGTTTGAAATGATTAAGTACCACCAGAGGTCAGTATCGATGGTGGCCATGCTAGTGTCAACACTAGCCTTGCTGGCGATCAATGACTCCGATCACATGCTACTCCTCATAACAATATTTTCATTAATTGGTTGAAACGTGTTATGCATGCTGTCATGATTCACTGTCAGTGTTGGCACTATTGACATGACTTTGAGATGATTGGGTGGCGCCAAATACTGGCATTGCCAATGCTAACACCAGCAGGGATACAGTTGTCGCTACTAATCGATGTCCTAGATTCAATCAAAAGTTTATGAAATTGTTGAGGGGACATTTTCCTATAAATGGGGGCCTTAGGCCTAAGTTTTGGACCCCAGAATTTGGAGGCCTTAGGCCTAAGTTTTTTACCCCAAAATTCTGATCCCTAGCCAAAAACTTTGTTGCACCTTACATTCTCCCAAAGTCCTAAAAACTGTTAACCTGAACCCTAAACCCGGTTCCCTTGAACCCTATTGCCCATATTCTTCAAACCCTGAACCTCTCTTGATACTAATCATTCCTACCCGGTAGACTGCGAAGGCTCAGAAAAAATTGGTGCACTAAGCACGATCTTGAACCGACCACCGATTTTGGGTCTCAGGCCTGGTGGTCGAGGTTGACACTAGCTTTCTTATCCTTCTTTCCTTTTTAGTTGTTTTTCAAAAATCTCTAGCAATCTTACCCTCCCCCTCTTTTTAACCGAGAAATCATTTCCAAACTTTTTAGAAGATATTTGGTTTACCGCCTCCCAAACGGGCACTACCAGTAATCTATACAAGAGCAGTTTGACGACCAATCTCTCGTCTGGGTTACAATTCAACGGAACCCCTTATTCTACATCCGAGTGACTTAGTTTACGTCCGAGGTCAAGGCCGGATGGCTGGAATTCCGTTCACCTCCAAATCGCGCATAAACACCATGTTGATGTTATCTATGCGTCATAAGTTTGTAACTTGGTTTAAAGTTTTATGTTTCGTATTGCAGTCATTGTAATCTGGATTTGTGTTGGTTTTTTCTTTGCTTATAATATTTTGCTTTTGCAAGTGATCTTGAGGTTCACTAGAGTGGCAAATACATTGGCGATTGATTGTGAGCCCAGCCGAATTGGAGGAAGTTTGGATACGATATGCATGGGATTGTTAAAATCTTAATTTTGGATAAAAATTCTAAAGTTAAGACGATCATCAATGTTAATGGCTTGATCATAAACAGTAAGTAGTGAAAATTTAATTTTAATCTAAAAATTTCTATATTTTTGTATTTTCTTTTTTAGTTTTTCACTTGTCTTAATTTTTATTTATTTTTAATTTTTATATAGAGAAATAAACATAAATATATGTTTACTTCTATGATACTAAAGAACTGGCATAAAAATTGTAGAATTCATGGGCTTGTCCCTTTTTAATTTTTTTTTCTTTTACTATTTCCCAAAATGCCTTGTTTTTTTTTTGTTAAAAATGTCATTCAGAACTTGAAGTTGTGAAAATTTTAGAAACCTTCACTTATTTTTTGATACAATTTTTGCTTTCCTTTTAAGTGTATCAATATTAGGAAGGTGATTCATTGCATATGTTGTTTTCTTTAGTAGAAGACAGCTTTATAACCAAATAAATTGGGGCTATTATTCACATCTTCCTTGAGGCTTAAGGCCCAAATATACATAAATACAGTTTCTCACATGATATCAGAGAAAGGTTCTGTCTCGATTGATTTTTCTTTGACTCCATAAACAGTTTTCATTATACTGCAATCTCGCACAAATCTTGTATGTTTTTTTTTTCTTTTTTTGTGGGTTTTTCTTCTTATTATTTGCTTTCGTTCTCTCTTTGCTCTTGTACCACAAGGTTAGGA